GGCGGGAGGTAGGGGATGTAGTGCCAGCACAGACTCTCCAATGCTGAGGGGGAGCTCCAAGCGTCAGGTCTGGATTTGGGCAAGCCGGGGGCCACATCCAATCCCTGGGCCTTAAGTTCAGCGTCCCTGCTTTGTTGATTCAAAGGTCACCTGGTGTTGGTTACATCATGACTACAAAAGGGTAAGGAAAAGCTTGAAGGAAAAACCTCCTATAAAATCTTGCCTTTTTATAAACTGTAGCATATTATTGCTGGTTACTAGACATTACCTAAAACCCATCTAAAGCAGTTTAGGTCTACAGCAGAGCCCCAGGAGGAAAACTTAGAATGGCCCTGGTGAGGGGCTATTTCAAAATAGCAGAAGTGGAGCATCTACACACGCCTTATTTCAAAATAGCTATTTCGGAATAGGCATTATTCTTCATAGAATGAAGTTTACAGAAGCCAGAATAAGCTGTCCGTTATTTTGAAATTATTTTGAAATAATGGAATTGTTGTGTAGATGCTTGCATAGTTATTTCGGAATAACAGCCATTATTCCAAAATAACTTTGCAGTGTAGACACACCCTAAGGAAACATCTACACAGCAGATGTTAATAACTGAACTTATTCCAAAATATCGTAGTCTGCAGCTATACTACAAGTAGTTATTTCAACATAATGTCAAAATAATGTCGAGATGGAGGACTTCTTACTCCGACTCCTGTAACCCCCTTTTTGCAAGGAGTAAAGGAAGTCAAAGGAAGAGTGCACTTTCTCGGACTTTCTGCTGTGTAGACAGTGCCAAATAAGCTATTTCAATTTAAGCTACACAATTAACATAGCTGAAGTTGGCTTTAGCCCTGCTGTGTAGACGTGCCCTAAATGAGTCAGCGGTCCTTCCTTTTAATGGCTGTACATATTCCCCAGAATCCTTTTCCAACTTCTACAGTAGGGCTACGTCTACACTGACCCCAAATTCCGGAAAAGGGATGCAAAGCAGGTAAGTCAGAATAGGGAAATCTGCGGGGGATTTAAATATCCCCCGCGGATTTAAATAAACATGTCCGCAGCTTTTTTTCCGGCTTGGGGAAAAGCCGGAAAAAAGCGTCTAGACTGGCGCGATCCTCTGGTATAAAGCCCTTTTCCGGAGGATCTCTTATTCCTACTTTGAAGTAGGACATGTTTATTTAAATCCGCGGGGGATATTTAAATCCCCCGCAGATTTCCCTATTCTGACTTACCTGCTTTGCATCCCTTTTCCGGAATTTGGGGTCAGTGTAGACGTAGCCCTACTGTAGAAGTTGGAAAAGGATTCTGGGGAATATGTACAGCCATTAAAAGGAAGGACCGCTGACTCATTTAGGGCACGTCTACACAGCAGGGCTAAAGCCAACTTCAGCTATGTTAATTGTGTAGCTTAAATTGAAATAGCTTATTTGGCACTGTCTACACAGCAGAAAGTCCGAGAAAGTGCACTCTTCCTTTGACTTCCTTTACTCCTTGCAAAAAGGGGGTTACAGGAGTCGGAGTAAGAAGTCCTCCATCTCGACATTATTTTGACATTATGTTGAAATAACTACTTGTAGTATAGCTGCAGACTACGATATTTTGGAATAAGTTCAGTTATTAACATCTGCTGTGTAGATGTTTCCTTAGGGTGTGTCTACACTGCAAAGTTATTTTGGAATAACGGCTGTTATTCCGAAATAACTATGCAAGCATCTACATAACAATTCCATTATTTCGAAACTGTACAAAATCAGTGCTTCTTGCGCAAATACTTTGACGCTCCCGCTCAGGGATAAGCCCTATTGCACAAGTATTATTGCGCAAGAGGGCCAGTGTAGACAGGCAAGTTAATTTCTTGCGCAAGAAAGCCCGATGGCTAAAATGGCTTTTAAGATGTCTTTTGCACAAAAGCATCCGTGCCAGTGTAGACTCTCTCTTGCGCAAATACTTTTAACGGAAAAACTTTTCCGTTAAAAGTATTTGTGCGAAATCATGCCAGTCTAGACGTAGCCATACAGTGGTAAAATATATGGAATAACTTACCAGGAAAAGTGATCTCAACACAAACTACGCTGGAGTTCACATGCCAGGCTCAGCTTCTTTCTGGAGAAGAAAGGCCCAGAGTGGTAAAGTTAAGAAAAGAAAAGTAGGTTGAAGATTAATCAAAGAAAGGCAAACACATTAGACTGGAATCCCCTTTCCTGTCCTTTATATCTTTATGTCAACTTCACAAAATACACCTGAAGTGTCAACACTAACATAAGCAAAAATAGGAATTCTCACCGGCATGGAAAAAGGAAAAACACACAATATTCCAATGGGGGAAGAGTAATAGGTGTTTATTAACCATCACCACAAATATATAAAGGTAAGATCCAAATATACATATTGTTTTTGTTTTGAAATTAGAGTATTAAAGTCACTGTGCAACATTAGACAGGCTTGTTACTTAACTGGCTGTTCGTCAGTCAAACTGGCTATAAAATCAGGTAATAAAACTATACAGCTCTGAAAACCAGATGTAACTGAAATAAGCTGTCTTGTATAATTAAAGAGGTATGTGTCCGTGTGTGGGGAGGGAGGACTAGCCACCAAGTGCTAAGAAATACATTCTTCACAATTAGGCTTTGATTTTGCAAGGTCACACACACATGCTTGGCTTTAAGTACATGATGCATAGTCCCATTGAAATAGTGGTGATGGGAAGATCTTGTTCTTAAAAGATGTCTACTTCAATTCTGAACACAAACTGTTGAGAGCAGCATCTGAAAGTGGGGCTGAAATAAAGAAGGGAAGAGGGAAATCTCTAGGACAGTAGTAAGCCTTTAATGGGTGAGGCTTACTGGTTCTCATTAATGGGTAGGAGCTGAAGCAGTCCCTGTATGCAGCAGGCCCAACTTGGGTGCACTGCAGGCAGTAGTGCTCCAGTTGTCGGGAGCAACCCTTGTCCATGGGCATGTCCTCCTTTTAAACACTTCACAGGTTAAGCAGTAACCAGTTAAATGGAATTTTATATCCCTATTCTCAACCAGAGGTATGTGTACCAAATAGGGTTGCCAGGTGTCCAGTTTTGAATCAGACAGTTCAGTATTTGAGCTTTCTGTCTGGGAAACAAATTGAGAAAATATAAATGTCCGGTATTTTCTAAATAAGATGTAATGTAGATTGTGATGTAATGTCAAGTGTGTGCTAGGGTTGCCAGGTGTCCGGCATTCTACCGGACAGTCCAGTATTTGTGCTCTCTGTCCGATAAAAAAACCAGAAAATACCGGACACGTGCAATGTCCAGTATTTTCTGATTTTTCTGGCTGTGCACTGGACGGAAGCTTGGCATGGGCCAGGGGAGCAGCTGGAAGGAGGCGAGCATGGGGGATTCCTGCAAAGGAAGGGCTAAAAGGGGGCTCACTCTGAGATGGTGCTGAGGAGAGTTCCCAGATCAGATGCTGTTTTCAGGGGCAGGAAAGGAGAGTCTCCTGCAGGAAGGAGCTGGAGCGTGCTAGGGGAACTAGCCCTGACAGAGATCTCTGGGTGTATCGGAATGGCCTTCTGCCCATGCCTATGGCTCTCACTGATAAATGAGGCACCAAAAGGGGGGCAAGGTGATTCTTGATTTACAATCAAAAGGTCTTCCTGGACTTGTCTATAATCTAGGAAAAGGGAAGTGAGGCGAGGCTCACCTGCAGCAGTAGGCCTAGGGTTGCCAGGTGTCTGGTATTCTACCGGACAGTCCGGTATTTGTGCTCTTTGTCCGGTAAAAAAAATCAGAGAATACCGGACATGTGCAATGTCCGGTATTCTCTGATTTTTCTGGCTGCGCACCGGACAGAAGCCTGGAATGGGCGGACACTCCTCCCGCCCCCACAAGGCTTCTGCGCAATCAAATACTGCGTGTCCGGTATTTTTGGGGAGACCATCTGGCAACCCTAAGTGTTTCTGGCATTTTTGATGAATCTATCTGGCAACCCTAGTACCAAAGGTCTTCCAGGGGTGCATCAATTCATCTAGATCTTTGTCTAATTTGACAACAGGCTACATAAAAAGCACTGACTAGCAAATAGGGATGGTAAAAGGTTTCCCGGTTATCCAGTAAGCATTAGTGAGGTCGGAGAGAGCAGCTCAACACCCCAAGGTGCAGTGGAACAGCCTGTCATCAGTGTCTGGGTGGGGGGCTGGCAGGACTCCTGCCAGTGGGACCCACCAGCCCTCCATGATTAACAGATTAAATGTTTAAAATTATATTGTTTAATCAATTCACTTTTTACTGGGTATTTACATCCCTATTAAGGAAGTCAGTACAACTAACATTTCATACAATTCATTTCACAGGGAAGGTTGCATGTACAACCCACTGAGCCAATGAACCAATCAGCGAGTGAAGCCCGTTCCAGCGGGCCAATGATTGGGCTTGGGCGCCATCTTTAATTCAGGCATCGGGACGCGGGACGCCTTCTCCGCTCAGGCCTGCTTGAACGTTCTGCCCACATTACAAATGGAGGCAGTTGTGGCTCTCGTGATAAGGAGCGTGCCGGCTCCGTTTGGGGCGGTGCTAAGTGAGAGCCTCGCAGCGGTTATAGAAACCCTCGACTCTGAGTCTGAGTGGAAGCGCATGCGCGGCCCGCGTTGCTCGGAGGGGAGGGGAGAAAAGAGAGTAGTGTGTAGCTCCGCCCCCTTTTGCTCCTGAGGTTTCAATGACTTCCCCCTGCTGAGCCTGGGGGCGGGGCAGTCACTTCCTCCCTCCCGGGTCCGAGTCCAGCCGCTGCCCCTGGCCTGCCCTCCCCCTCCGCATGCGCAGG